CACCTCAGTGGCCTATACACAGCCATACATTGAGTGTGATGCAGTTCAAAGAGGGGGAAGCCAGCCAGCGGCGTCTCCTGAATGATTCAGAAGAGTTTTTCACAAGGTTAACACCGACTCCAGCTGGAACACACCTTGCAGTACAGAAAACTTCAAGGTACTCATCAACAAACAAGCAAATCCTGTCCCTTAGCTCTGGAAGATTAAAAACCACATCAGGGAACAACATCACCACCGTGCTGGATGTGTCTTTAAAGTGACATTTAATGTGGGTATTCACATAATACATATTAAACAGATGTCTTCGATGCATCAGTGACTGAGCGGTGATGCTCATTGTCGCCACTAGAGGGCGAGCTGAGCCAGTTCAGCCACATGAACGATATGATTCAAACTGCACTGTCTGCTGCTAAATGTTGTGTTTTATTAAACTTATCATTGCAGCAGCTGTGTGGAGCTGAGTTACACTAAATGCATCATGTCTGTATTTTTTTTAGGTGCTGTTAGAATTAGACTAATTGAACAGGAATGCCAAAATTTGTAATTCATATGGAGATTGAAGGTTTTCTAATTATTTTGCAAATTAGATTTAGAAAAAATAAAGGTGTAATTGATAAAATAAGGTTATTAATTGTTCTGTTTTGTGTTTTTTGAGATGCATTTTAAATTAATCTCATTTGTATTCCTGATTAAGCTCTTTGTGAGTCATTGTGAGAAGCAGAGAGCTCATTTTGGGCTCTGCTCCATAACTGGGCTCTAAGTTGTAAGCCTACTGATGTTTATTTTTATCATCCTTTAAAAAAAAAAAAAAAAGGAAAAAAACAGGTGTCTTGGATGCTGTGAGTCGCAGGGACTTCTGCCTCCTCATTGGCTGACGCCTCCGTGACGCAGCTCCTCATCCATCCTGAGCGGTGCCGAAGCGGCGGCGGCGTGGAGAGCCGCTGGATCTACCCGGACCTTCAGCACCGGACCGGCTCCGTCCCACTCAGCATCATAGTTTCTAATTCAAGGGTAAGCCGCAGATTTTAATTATCTGGTAACAGATCTGTAAATACCAGCTTTGTGATTAACATCTGACGCCTGAGCTGCGTCGAACAGGGCTGTAAAAAAAATAATAATGTTTGCATGATTTCTCGATGTAAGCATGCATGTATGAGGAAACTGCAAATAGAAGTCACCTGGAAGAAGAGGCTCACCTTTGGCTGAGGACTAGGTGATGCTCTTAACTGCTCGGCTGTGTTTTCATTCTCCTCTTTGATCTTGCTCTGTGTGATGATGGGGGTGTGTTTGTGTGCTCCACTTCTAAAGGAATCTAGATGCTACTTCTGCCATGGATGTTTCTTTTCCTTGGCATCCATGTGTGCACGCTCTCTCCCGTCTGGCATATTATCCTACTGAATGTCATCTTTGATAATCCAGAACCTCCTGAAACTTTCCCTCCTCTGTAATGAAGCCTCATTGCAGATCTCTCCTAACAAGCAGCATCCTGACCACAGTGGGCCTCTTCGCTCCATCCTTCACGTTGGATGGCTGACTTGACCTGACAGACATTTCCAGAAAAAAAAAAATTGTTCAGATAATCGCAGCCATGTCAGGCTTCGAGCTGCACTCAGAGCCGCTTGGCATAGATTTCTGGGTTGCAAGATAAGAAGACTTCCAGCAGGGTTAACACGCGAGCGGCGAGTCGGCTTTTGCATTGGAATGGTTTGTCCTCTGCAGACGACTGGTCTGTCACACTGGCCTACTTTACTGTGGTGTTGGAAAATAGTGGGGGCAGGATAATTCAGGGTTCAATAACGACATACATGACATTATTACTCAGAGTCAAATGACAATTCTTCTATTTAATGTGCTTCACTGACAGGCAAAACTAATTGTCAAACTTCTGTCAGCAGAGATTTGCAGGACCACATGCACATAATAGTTATTATTTACAGCAGCTGTAATGTACGAATCGTTTTCTGACACGGAGGGTACAAATTCATGTTCCACATTACATTCACTGGGGAAACGGTTTTGTCTTATGTGACTCACACTTTTACATCACACCTACACAGACACTGGGAGCAAAGAGAAGTGCCTGAGGAGGAAGCCTCCCTGTGATGAAAAGCCTTTCTGCTCTACCTGCACCTGAGCTGCAGCCAAAAGGAAAACATCTTCTTTGCTCTGAATTCATGCAAATAAATGTCAAGTAGTGGCATTTTTTACCCCAAAATAACATCTAATGGCAAGTCATCAACACATTTAGATATAAAATAATTTCTTTATTTGTGATTTATGTGATATTGACAGATAGTTATTCAGAACAGCTATTTATTGCAAGTGTCATAGTGTTTATAGTGAATGCTAATTGGTGATATCTGTCCCCAGAAGAGGCTATGATACTATATGATGCAATATATTAAACCTGCATTAATCCCACTGAGGGGAAATTTGCATTATTACAGAAGAAGACAGTGCAAATATTGAATAAATATCACTAGAAAAATAGAAATAAACAATATTTAGATTCAGATTGTCCAAATTCCCGTGGATGTGGAAATAAGAATATTGCACAAATCAGTGGTTTAAGTGAAAGAGTAAAAGAGTGAGGTGAAATACAGTATAATACCATAAAGCTTAAAAAGAAGTCAATGCAATAATGGTAATAATGCTGCAACCCTTTCTGGAAATATCAGACCAGAGATCAGACAGACTGCATGAAACAGAGTGTGCATAAAACCAAACTTCTAAAATGCTCAATTTTTATATTAGATTTCCAATTGCTGATGTAGACATGGTTGATTTATTTCATGTCGTCCCACATGGACCGCTACTAGACTTAAATTACACCCCACATGTCTTCATTTATGTCTAAAGCATGCTAACCAATACCTTATATTAGTGTCTTGTCTCTGATAAGATATAGATGAGGACATGTAGGTTTGAAGCAGTGGCCAAATGAACAAGCTACAAGCAGCTTTTCTACTGATTTCACAGGCAAGAAGAAACTTAAGAAAATCGTGTCTCCTCTTGTCTTAATAATACGCAACAAATAACCCAATTTATGAGGGATGGTATGTGTCTTTTAGAGCAGCCACGACTGCCTGCGATCATGCTATTGATGTGTTTACTGTTTGTTGCTGTGACAAGGATTTAGTTAAGAAAAGAAAAACCTCCTCGTTGTGACCTGCATCTTCTTTAGGTTTATTATCTTTATGCGTAGCACAATCTGACTGCCTCGAACAGACGACTGTGTGACGTTAGAGATAAAGAACAAGACAGAAAATGTCTCCTAAACATGGTGTTCAGTGTAACAACAAGCACTAGTGTTTCTCCTCCTGTATGATCAAACATCATTAGCGCTCTCCAGTGTTTGAATATTTTATATGGCATTTGAGCACGCTTTGTAGTTATTTTTTTGTACTTATTTCTAACGTGTTTTGTGAAGGGAGGATGGCCGTTATTACGCTACCTGTGTGTGTTTTTTAAAACAGTACAATCAGGAGCACCTCGTATGAACACGGCAGAAGACTTTGCATTAACTAAACTGATGTGAAAGTGTATTTACTCTTAGCAGTGCCAGCGGAGCATCTCTGCAGTGCAGCTGCCCTAGTTACAGAGCAGCTGAGTAACTGTGAGAGACTGTGGTTGGCTCCGGCGGTGAGAGGAGGAGTTTGTTAATGGTTGACTGAATTATGGAGTGTAGGCTGCGCTGAGGGCCAGAGCCAGACGACACAGTCGGACTTAGACCGAAGGGACCAGCGATGAGAAGTGAAGGAGCAGACAGCAGCCTCCAGTTGTGCTTCATGTTTTCACCTTGTTCTGTTCTGCTGGGATGCTGTTTTTTTTTAATGTTTTGCTGATCAATAAAGTGTGTAATTAGGTCCCAGAGGCCATGAGGTCTGTCTCAGATATGCAGCTAGAAATTACACTGGATAATCTTGACACCTACACATGCAGTGTTTACTCCTTAATCGGTTTATGTGATGAGGCCTGAAGTCGAAAGATCTCTGAGGCCAGAAAACAGAGAAGCAGAACCTCAGGGATCAAAACAAACACCTCGGATGCAGATGCCAACAACGAAGATAAAAGTTTTCCAGAGTTCATTGAAATGCAGCGTTAAAGTCTTCACAGTTTGCATGAAATGTTCCCCTTATGAATTCAAACTACTCCTCAGTTTACTTTTATTACTGCTAAAGCTATTAATTTTATGCAGTATTTGTATCTTCTGTGGACTGTGTTGTTTTATCTACTCTTGTACTCCATCAGTACATTAATATAAATCTGTTTCTTTTGTGTTTGCTCCTCAGGGTTTAATCGTAGGAACATGGAGACAGCGTGGTCCGCGGCCCGGCCCCATCCAGCAGTATGATCGGAGCCTCCAGTCTCTCAGGTGACACCCTGATAGCCTGCCACTTCCCCGTGGTGCAGCTTCCCACCTGGCAGCTTCCCGTCCAGGCCCTGTGCGGCTCGGCCAAGAGGACCAGCCGGCTGTGCTCAGTGGGCCTGACCCGGGCCGTGTCCCTCCCAGAGCGGGACTCGCTCAACCGAGAGCATGCCTTCACCGGCGGCCGGAGGCATTTTTCCAGCAGCTACAGCAGCCTGAACGAGGACCGAGCGGAGGAGGAGGGCGCCAGCGACAGCAGCGGGAGGTATGACTCCACCTCGTCGCCAGAAGAGACGAGCTCCCACCTGAAGAAAGAAAGCTCCGGAGCTCGAGTCAGTCTGCGGTCGCACAACTCATTCCTGCCGAACACGGAGTTAGATGAGGAGGAGGAGGACGAAGATAGCGATGGAGACAATCTGCACAGATATCATGAGGACTCGTCTTTTGTGTTGCACGGAAACTCCAATTGGCCGTTAAGCAATGGAGCCGCGAATTACACTGTGTCCAATGGGGACTTGGACAGCGAATGGGGCAACGAAGGGACGATGCTGCGTACTGAGGGTGACCAGGAGTGGCTCTCTAACCAGCCCAACCAGATGGACTCGCTGCCACCTGAGTGCCAGTGCTTTCACAGGAGCAGATCTGGCATCACGGCGTGTTTAGAGCAGGACTCAGACAGACTGAAGGATAACATGTCCTGCTGCATCCACAGCCAGCACAAATGTTCCCCAGAGCTGCTGTCCAACAGAGAGTTTCCCAGCGATTCCTCCTGCAACAGTTCTGACGGCGTCCTGGTTAACTTCTGCACCATCTACAACAGGAGCAACAATCCCGCCACACCTTATGATCTCAGCAGCCCGGCGGTTCACCCCTCTCAGTCGACAGAGGGGTCCGTGTTCCTCAATCTCCAACCCGTTCCCCAAACCCCGAACGAGGACGTCCGTCCAGTTTACTCTCCCCCGAAAGAGGACATGGCGCTCTCTGCCTCCCGCTGGTCTCCTCAGGGCCTCGACTCCAACTGCAATCTTTACTCCCTGGAGCCGCTACCGCCGGGTCTGTCCTCTCTGGAGGTATCGGACCTGACAGCCTGTCTTCAAAGCCAGGCCACGCTGCCGATGGGGACAAACCAGAAGTACTACAAGCTCGTGACCTGCGACCTCTCGTCCCAGTCGCCCAGCCCGGCCTGGTCCAGCCTCACCAGCTGCCCTGAGGGGCAGAGCCGGAGCAGCCCCTTCCCTCCTGCTGTCGATCATAAGAAGGAACCACAGCACAGTGAAGTCAAGAAGGTAATTTGGGGGGAAAAAAAACCCATTCTCTCTAGTGGTGAATTAGATTATAGAAATTGAAAAATGAAAAAACAACGCAGAAATGTTGAAAAGAAAAGATTGCTTCTCAGGTAAAATAATTTATTTGATCAAAGCTGAAAACGGGTCAGTTTGTCTTAGTTGATAAAAGTTTTTTAGTTTTCACAGACGTCAGTTAGACTAAAATATGAAATATGAACATTCCCATTCTTACAAGCTATGTACTTTTTTTAAAAGAAACTTATCATAATAAATCAAATGCTTTATGGAGAGAAAACAAAATTAGTTTTTATGTAGCTCTGAAGTACACCTTCGATGGTTTTGACCACTTAGAGTAGTTTTTGGAAACAGCATCCAGACAAAAATCCATCCATCCATCATCTACACACCGCTTAATCCTCACTAGGGTCTTGGGGGGCTGGAGTCTATCCCAGCTGACTCAGGGTGAAGGCAGGTTCACCTGGACAGGTCACCAGTCTATCACAGGGCTACACTTAGAGACAGACAACCAAGCACACTCACATTCACACCTACGGACAATTTAGAATCACCAATTAACCTCAACATGTTTTTGGACCTTGTGGGAGGAAGCCGGAGAACCCTGAGAGAACCCACGCTGCACGGGGAGAACATGCAAACTCCACGCAGAAAGATCCTGGGTGTCCTCACCGGGATGCGAACCGGCGACCTTCTTGCTGTGAGACAACGGTGCTAACCACCGAGTCACCTTGCAGCCCTGAAGTTTCCTACTGGCTTGATTGATTATTGTAATTAAAACATACAATTGCAGCTGCAGACACACAGAAACCAAAGAGTATTTATTAGTCGTTTACAACATTATATAAAGTTCATTAGTTAAAACTGACCCCAGACATGTTTGTAAAGGGCTCTCAGTTTAAACAATGAAACCAACGGCTTCTTTAAAATAACATTTATGATTATGTGATGTAAAGTTGAAGGAGTTCTGCCTTTTCTTGTCTATCAGGACAAAGAGGATCAACAAAAGGAGAAGAGGGTCTCCTCTGCACGGTTGGACTCTTCTCAGCTTCACACCCTCGACTACCAGGTTGCCACCACCTCCACCGACAAATCCCCCTGCAGGAAGAAGCAAACGGGCAGCGTCCAGAACCTCTCCCACACGCCTGGTTCACTGTGCCCCAGCCAGTGTAGCCCACAGAGCAGCAAATGCCAAGACGCCAGAGCTCCGTCCACACAGCCATCTGTGCTCCAGGACCAGGAGCACAACAACACCGGTGCTGCTGAGAAGGGAAAGGCGACGGGTAAGAGAGAGAAATCAGGTTTTTATTCTGATTTGTTTGGGTCATGACGCAAAGAAAGATGAAGAACAGAAAGGTTTTGTTTTAGTAAGTGGCTCTAATATCTCCGTCTTCTTCTCAGGAGCTTTGGAGAAGGAAGTGTTTCGCTACAGTAAGGCCCAGAGGCCGACCTCGCTGCCCATCCAGCCCTTTGTCCTGATCCCCACGGGAAAACCTCAGTCCCAGGCCCAGCACCTCGGCTGTCTTCTTGAACAGTACCTGAACCAAAAGAGCAGCAAGTCTGGCAGCTCCCAGGAAGGCTCCAAGTCTACGGTGAAACGCAGCCAATGTTTTTCTAATCTCCAGCAGTCACCACTGGGCAACCTGTGCCCCGTCCTCCTGGAGGCTCCCTCCAGCTCCGACACCTGCTCGACCTGCACGCCGAGTCCAGAGTGCTTCACGCGCAGACATACATGGAGTCAGTCCAGCAGAAGCCAAGGAGGCCCCAGTCCGTGCACATCAAGGGGCAGCCTGGACCACAACATCCTAAAGCCCAGAATAGTTCAGGTGCAAGAAAAAACAAGTCCCTACTCGGGCAAAACGCAGACTAGCAGTTTTTTAAACCTGATGTCAGCTCCAAATCCATCCAACCTGGTTAAAATACCCACCTACCAGGACCTGATCCACCTCACCCCTGAGCAGAGCCAGGCCAGTCCTGAGCCCAAAAGTCCCGATCAGCCCCAAAGCCACACCTCCTACCAGCCAGTGTTCTCTCATACGCCGCCCACTTTACCCCTAACCACAGACAGCCATCACCCAGACAGGCAGGTGTCTCTGTCTCCTCCAGCGGCCTCCCTCCAGCAGCAGAAGTTCCCTCAGTACCGAGCAACACCTGCAGCTGACTCCGGCTTTTTTCACAGTAGTTTCACGGCTGCCCTCTCCTCGGTTGCTCCGCTTTCCTCTCTGAGTTCTCTCATCTCCTTGGCTGCTTCTGGGCTGCATCCACAGCAAATCCCAGACTCTACTGGCCCGAGTTCAAAGCCAAGTCAGAGCCATCACAGCGAATCTCTGATCCTGAGTGACAGGCCGCCCACAGAGTTCTGCCTCTCACCTGATACGTCTTATGAGTCCATGTCTATCAGCCATCTTCAGAGGAGAGGTGAGGGTCAACTACTGACTGATGCACTGTTTTATTTCCTATAAATGATGTGACACACAATTGATAAATTGGAATCTGAATGCAGTAAGAGGGACCGAGTCTCAGTAATGACTGGATCCCTCCCGGTTTGGATGGTCTAGCCAGTGATGAGCTGTTAAGAGCAGCAATAAAAAAAACTCACTGTGCTGCAGCAGTGCCTTCAATACCCTGAAGGGGCTTCCTCTCAAACATGACCTATTTTTAACTCTCCCTGCACAGGATTGGCTGAGCCTTCCTCTCTGTAGCCTATGTGTGTGCGCGACTGCAAGCTCAGAGAGAGGACGAGGGGGTGAGGATGTAGTAGAAACACTGCAAATGATTTATATCACAGCTAATCATTTTGTTTTAGTGGCACCATATGGGCCACTTGGTGTGAATTTGATTATGTAAATGTGAACCTTTTGCGATGCCTTGACGGAGGCTTTCGCAGCAGCAGCAGCGGCGAGGAGTCGGTGTGGCGCAGCACTGCAGGCAGGATCAACATGCATAAAGAATTTACCGTGACATTTGCAGAGGCTAGCCGGTACGAGACGAGGAACGAGGGGAAGGGGAAAGCAAGTCAATGAGGATCACTGCTGAGATGAAAAGTGACTCTTTCATCTCGAGTTCCCGTCCACATTTGCATTTGTGCAATATGATAATGAACCTTGAAAGCATTCTCTCATATTTCTGAGCATTGACCCACTTAGTGAGGTGGAAATCTTCTTAATTTTTGATTTCACTTGTGCAGTGCCTTCAGTTTAACTTGATAACACGAGAAAAGTGTTGAAACAAATTCATATTTACCAGAAACAAGCCAGATTTTATTCCAGCGACCAATAATAAGCAGAAATTGCATAAGATTGTGAGTCTTGCAGGGTTATATATACTGTAAATACAATATAAAGACGTCAGATTTGGTATCTGCCTGTTTGTCATTGTCTCCAGGCTTGCTGAGGTCTGTGAGCAGGGCGGTGGATTTGATCATGGCTCATTTTGGCAGCAGCAGAGACCCTGAAGAAAAGGTACAAATCTGCAGCTTCAAGCATCGTGACTGATGTGTCACAATGGAAAAGTGCCAAGTTGGTATCACTTACACTCTATGAAAGGAGTCAAATAACTTGTGTCAGCAACAAATCCTGCATTACATTTCTGTCCTTGTGCCACAGATGCGTCTCGGTAACAGCTCATACAGTCCCACAATCGCCGGTCTGGTCCTGGAGCACTTGTGTCCAGCGTTACAGAACATTTTAGAAGATGGTCTTCGGGATCACAAACTGGATTTCATCATCGGGCAGCGCCGTAACCACTCCTGGAACGTGGTGGAAATCTCCACTAGGATTGGTAAACATGATTATTAGTAATCAAGACTGGAGGAGCTAAGCATTTGTTTGTGGTGCACTATTCGTCCTCACCTCTTTGATGAGCATTTTCCGGTCTTTGTCCAACTCTGCTCCAGGTCCATCCACCAAGGTCCTTCACAGCCTGGTCTCCAAAATCAGACAGTGTCCTCAGCTCACCAGCCACTGCATGAGACTGAGAGCCTTCCTCATGGGCCTGCTGAAGTAAGTTATCTTTGATATTAGTAAAGACGAAAATAAAGAATAAGAATGATACCAAAAATAGCAGACACATAAAACCATTGATTTTTTTGTTGGGTATGTGTTCTCTGACAGCTTGAGAGCTTTGGAGTTCTGGCTCAGTCACCTTCAGGGTCAAAAAGGTGAGCGCACAGTCAATTTAATGTACTCTTTTTTTAGTTTTTTGCCACACTAGCAATTGTAAACTGTCTAATAAAGATGGATGACTACTGTTTTAAAGCCTTGAGTTTAGAATTTGTCTGTCCAAACTGGATGTGACAAATGAAGGTTGACTCTGAGAACTCATGGGTGCTATGCATGCGTACATGATAATGATTTGTCAATTACAAGGTAGCCCCACCAAAGAGAATATCCCTCTTTGTCATCTATTTTACTCTAAATGGGAACATAATTTAGAAAATAAACATCATGCTGTGTTGAAGAAGACTTAAAATTAGTGATTGAGACCAGAAACTAGTTCAAAAAACATTTACTGAGCTAATAAATCAAGTGAGAAGTAGAGTCATCAGGGTTGTTTTTGCAGCCAGTGGAGTCGCCCCCTGCTGGCCGTTAGAAAAAATACAAGTTTAAAGCACTTCTGCTTTACTCCACCTTGCATATATACTGTATGATAGCTTTAGGAAGCCATAGCTCAGGTGGGCTGTCCCTATTTAGCTTAACAACTAAATAGATTGTAATGGAAGCTGAAATCCTGATTTAGCACCATTGTAAAGTCAATATGATGTTTTGTCTGATACCTTCAGTCCAGTACTAAACTTTAGTTTGTGTACTCATGCTTAGTGCTAATTAGGAATTGTTCATATGCTAATGTGCTAACCTGCTATGATGATTATGGTGAGCATAATCTGCAAAACATGAGAATTTCAGTCGTGTGTCTCTCCTCAGATGTCGTGACCACATACTACCACTCCTGGGGCTTCCTGTCCATGACCCTGGGCCAGTGTCAGCCCTTGTTTCAAGAGCTGCTGCTTCTCCTGCAGCCACTTTCTGTGTTGCCCTTCGACCTCAACTTGCTCCTGGAGCCCCGACTGTTACACCACAGACAGCTATGTTCAGAGGAGGAGAGCGCCTCCCCACCTCAGCCCTGCTCAGCCCTTTTGGTGACCAGCTGGCCGAGACTGCAAGCCGACAAGAAGTTATACAGCAGCTACAGCAGTCAGCCAACTAAGATTTCGCACCCAGCAGGCCTGCATCACCACGAGTCTCTCAGCTCTCAGAATTCAAGTTGCTACAAGCAGCAGCAGCAGCAGCGTGGAGGTGTGCAGGCCAACAGGAGTCCAGTGCTAGCTCCCATCCCAGAGTGGCAGCCAAAGGAGCCTGACCTTGTGGAAGGTGTGGCCGAGGGAGAGGACGGCAGCCAAAATTATGCAGATACTTGGTTTCAAATAAGCATGGACAGCAGGCAAGAAGACAGGAGATCAGAGAAGGACTGTGGGACCCCGAATTCATCAAGCGCCGTGCAGAGTCCCTATCAGGGTGGGCTGCGCTGGGCCAAACTGTTCGGAGCAGCTGATTCTTCCACCAAAGCACAGACAATTTCTCAGAGTCACACTGAAGCACAAAGCAGAAGGTAAGACGCAGTGAGCAATGAAACAGATTCTGCTGTTTGATTTTGGTGATAATCTGTGTTTCTCCTTAATCCCAAGGTTTTTATTTGTGCAATCTGGATTGATGAAAGGCTGACGATGTGACATTCTGGTCAACATTTCTTTATCATCTTCTCACAGGCAGCGGCGACCATCGCAGTGGCTACATCTGGACAGATCGCAGCTGGGACGGCTGGCTCAGTCCATCAGGTCGATGAAGCTGGTGGGAGCTCAGACTGACAAGCGCTGCTAAAAAAACCGAACTCACAGCGAGAGGGGGGGACTGTTTACTGTAATAACACAAGTCTTAAATGCATGAAAAAAAAAATACATACACAGTGCTTAACTACACTGCTGAACTGATAAGAAAGCACAGAAGTGCGAGATTAACCGCTCTGGCAGTGGCCCATATTCATCAAGCTTTGCGTTGCCTCAGCTATTTGTAAATCCACTGCTGAGCGTGTGTTCCTTCTGAGTTCTCGTCTTAATCATCAGCTGCAGCAAGCATTTGTTTCGCATCACAAACTGTAGCATGACAGCCAAAAACTTACAGTTTAAGCTGCAAATCCTTATATAATGACTAACCAATAATATGTAGGTGCTTAAATGTGTTTATTTTTATATGTGTTTCAGTTATTAGTGCTCTTGAGTTGAAAGTATCTGATTGTGCTCATCTAAGTTCTGTAGCAAGTCATTACATTTGACATTTAGTTCTTGTATTTTAGGGTAAATAACACATTTTTGTGCCATGTTATTGAAAATATTACAGTTTTTAAAACAGCATTTTCAAGTTTTAGGTCAAATATGTCAAGCACATTTTATATTAAGGGATCGGTGGTTAGCACCGTTGCCTCACAGCTAGAAGGTCGCTGGTTCACGTCCTGATGAGAACACCCGGGATCTTTCTCCGTGGAGTCTCCATGTTCTCCCCATGCAGCGTGGGTTCTCTCCGGGTTCTCCAGCTTCCTCCCACACAGTCTAAAAACATGCTGAGGTTAATTGGTGATTCTAAATTGTCCGTAGGTGTGAATGTGAGTGTGCTTGGTTGTCTGTCTCTAAGTGTAGCCCTGTGATAGACTGGTTACCTGTCCAGGTGAACCTGCCTTCACCCTGAGTCAGCTGGGATAGACTCCAGACCCCCATGACCCTAGTGAGGATTAAGGAGAGTATAGATGATGGATGGATGGACATATTATCTTTCTATCACTGTCTATAAATATAGTGACAAATCTTTCTCAAATTGATAGTTTCTGTTGTGCAACCGGCTCCTGGTTTTAAAACATCTCTCAGTTGTTGTTTTTTCAGTGGACTTTTTGTGCTCATACTGTGAGGTGACATTTAAGGTCCTGAACTCTTTTCCAGGACGCAGCTTGATGAATAAGGGCCAATGCCACAATCTGCCTTTGCACTCTTGAATAACCACAATTAGGTGCTTATGCTACTCCCCTTTGTATTTCCCGTAGGCGAATATCAATCATGAAAAATGTGAATATTGATCTGCTGTAGACTGTTGGACATTCTTGTGGTGCGAAACTATCCATTTTTTCATTTGTCACTGTCGGTCTCTGCATAGCTCTGTCTCTTTCCTTTTATTGATAAGTGGAAGAAGAAAAAAGAAAAAAGCAATACACTCTTACCAGTGCCAAATATGCCACACACACACACACACACACCAGCCTCTTGTAGTAGATTATCAGTGATGGTTTTATTCCCAGTAATTTGCTTCTTTTTTTTTCCTCCAGCATGGATTTACTGTACGTGCATGAACATACAGCAGGATTTTTTTTCTTGACCTCAAAACTTCCTCTCGATGTTTTTTTTATAGGTGTAGACATTTTCCGGCATGGGGAATTTTAAATTCATGGATGAGTGGTTGATGTCTTCCAGGGAGTTTGCTCAGCTGCACAACTATGAGCCCTCTTGTGGCTGTTTCAGGTATTTAACTGTGTGTCAGGTATATTTTTTGATGGACTGGTGTTGAGATAAGATGGAGGAAAATGAAGATGTGTTCTCTGCGTTTGCCGAATAGAGAAATTTTTTTTAATCGTAGTGCGATGATGTGAAGTCTGTGAAACTGTTCCACCTTGTTTTATCCTCTGAATGCTTCCTCTGATGCCCAGTGACAATCAGCCTCTGTCAGTAAAGACTCTACATGTTTACCTGTTTGCTCTGTCCTGTGCCAGATCTTCTTTTTTTTTTACAATCCAGCAAATTGTTTTCATGGAAATGTTAAGACTTCCTTATAGGTTGTTGGATGTGAATCAAGTTACAACCTCATGGTGATTTAATGATCGTTTTATTGAGGTGTGTGTGTGTGTTTTTATGGCTTTTCCAGAAGGATCCTTTTGATGCCGCTCTTTTCCAGGGCATTCCTGGAAAGCTGACCGAAGGTCTGCCCGTACATGAACTTGTATCCTGTAGGACGGTGTAGCGTTAGTCACTCGATGTTTACCCCCTGATTAACTGAATTTATATTTCAGCAACATCTATAATTTAGCTTATCAGGAGGCATTTGCTGGCGCACAAACCTGGGATGTGTCCCGCGAATGACGGCACCACACCTCTGTCGGATGGATAGATTGAGGGCAGAGGAGGTGTCGAACTGTTCATTTTGCCTTGAAGGTCTTTGGATGTAAGGTAACTGTGCTGCCTTCCAGACTGGACCAGCGCCTGCTTGGTGATGACGGGGTAACCTTTGCCAATCAGGAAGCGAGATTTTGGCACGTGTCCTGTAAATCCTGCAAAAGAGACGCCACTTTGTAAGACCTTCAGAGTTCATTAGTAGCTCTCTTCTTACAACTCTGCAGCTCTACGTTGTCTTTTTTAGCCTTTTTTTCTGCTCTAAATGAAAACAAACTGGCTGTTCTCTAACTGTTCAGCACCAGATTGCAAACAGACAAAGAAAACAACTTGTGATTAGAAGTTAAATACAGGGGAAGGGAGGAATATTTGTGTAACACATTTTACCATCAAACTGCTTTATGTCTTATACATGAACTCAATTAGACTAGATATAAAAAAGGCCCAGACAGCTGTCAGCTGGATGAAGATCCGACTTCAGCTGTTGTTCTGTGTTTCAGACAATTGTTTACTAAAATGTTGGACGTATAAACGATACATGGCCATAGCGTTTTATTAGTAGCAGATCTAATTTACAGAATTGAAATCTGACGGTCGGTGGCGGTTCTTTTGTTTTTGTCATTGGCTCATGTGAACGAAGGAAAACAGGCTAAATGCTTCCCCACCTTTCAAACTAAACTAGTAAATTACCATTCTATTAACCCTTATCATAACCCCTAATTGATATGCTGAGCTGATATGCTTGTTAAAAAATGCTAAAAGCTAAAGTCCTGTCACAGAGCTATTTTAATGAAGCTGGGATTGAACTCTGGGCTCTGTGTTTAGCTCACCGCCTGAGCCGCAGCCACCAAAACACCAATCATTTGCTAATTTCGGGTTCTTTCTGTCGGCAGGTGTCTTACAACGTTCCAACCAATCACAGCCACAGAGCGAAGAAAACACTCACTTTGCTTTGCTGTGATTGGTTGTTCAACTTTGCGTTGGAACTGTGCAGCAGCTAAATAATCAATCAAAAGGCGGATTGGTTGGATTGCTCAGCGTTGTCGGTGTTTACGACTGAGTTTTGCTGCCCCCAAGTGGCTGATTGGGGTAATGCGGGTTACAGGCCCGCTGCCAGTATCAGCTGTAGCATAAAGTAAGCCATGGATGTGTTTTATTGGACAGCTGTGACAGTCCTCTGTGAATACCTGAGACGAAGTACTTGTGTGGGTTGTCATCATCCATTGAATACGGTCGTCCAGCAGGCGTGAAGATCTGTCCGGGCTCGTAGGAGATCGCTTTGTTGGATATCAGTGTCAAAGGTGGCTTGAGTCTCTGGTCAGAAGACAAGATCATGTGACACATCTGTTCGTTATAATTACAAATATTTTATACAACAATGTATACTTAGCACCAATAATACCAATAAATACAAGATGCAAAGCCATCCCAGTTAAAATGACATCATAAAACTGGTCATACTGGTGATCATTTCTTTTAATCGTCTGTATAAAAGCCATTCATTTGAAGCTCAGAGTCATAATTAATGACACTGCGGTTGGTCCGACCCCTGCGGTGGATTAAATGACAGCGATGTGACACTGGAGCTGGATAATTAAACCAACCTGGTGTCGCGTCAACATGAGTGTGTGTGTGTGTGTGTGCGGCGACAAAGCAACAGCGTGTGTGTGTCTGAAACAGAGAGTTTACATCAGTGTGTTGAATCCTGACAGCAGCTGGCAGGTTCTCCGACTGCTGCTGGAGCTTTTCTTGTCTTTCCTGACTGAACTCGGTGAGCGCTTTATGGCATCCTTCAGAGTAGCTGCAGGCAAAGTAGTTCTGACTCCTCGGGATAAAACCTACAAGAGAAACGAGCATCGTTAAAGGTCCAGTTCACCCAAACTTCTGGTTCTGTCTGGACATGAGGAGACTTTTCTTTTGTTGTTGTGGTTTATTCATATAGAAACAAGACATTTTGGAACGATGTGCTGTTGATGAATGGATTAAATTCTGTTCACCTCAAACTGAATCACTGCAGCAGAGACTTAATGAACACATGAACCCTCCTTTTACCTTCAGATTAACTGCCTTTTTTTGTATCCTTGGGTTCAGTTTGACCCCAGCAATTTAAACCTCCAGACCAGAAAATATCATAATTAAAATTATTACCCAAGTTTATGTGTAAATAGCCCTTTAAATAAAAAAATATGTCAGTGACTTATTTAGAGATGTTAAACATTGAATGGGATCAAATTGACCCCAAAGATAAGAGGAGGGTTCAGTCGTTTTTCATTAAACGTGTGATTATCACTTCCAAAAAGTGTAAAAGCACAAGAACAATGACTTTAACTTTTAATAAATATCCTACTAGTTGTGTGGCCTTGTCACCCACCCACACTGCTGTATTGATTTTCAACCCTGTCCCACTTAACCCTCAGCTTATTCTTCATAATTTAGCAGCTTGGACACAGATTGTTTGTCTCGTGTTGCTGTGAGAACTCTGAGGTTATAACACACATGCTGCTGTTGGCGTTTCACATCACTAAACGCTAACACGTTTACTAAACTATGCAGGTGTGTTCATATGAAATGATTTTCCTCTGAGGTGTTCAGTTACGTTGTTGACCCTCCGCTCAGTGTGTGACACCAGCCTGTGTATCCTGGTATCATCCTCTTCAGGTTACTGTCAGCGAGGCCTCTCGGTGTCGGACCGGTGTCGGAGTCTTTGGAGGGGACGAGCTCAGGTCGGGTCAGCAGCTCAGCCGTCAGCCTTCCGTAGGACTTTCCGATGTTAAACTTGAGCTGCGGGCAATATCCTGCATATCTAAATAACAAATAATAAAAAAAAAGTCAAGCAGATATAAAGCTAGAGATATATAAATGTAGCCGACAGTAGTTTTGATTTTAGCAGATTTAACAAACAACCTCTCAGGAAAAATTAGGATTTTACACTGAAGTGGACACAGGGCCCAAAGAGTCTGAGGGAGAGGTTATAGTTTACATTTCTTGTTGACAAATCAATCAAACAGCACAAAAGAGATTAATTCATTGTTGGCAGGAGGTTCATAAGAGTTCACATAAAGGATTTCATTCGGACATTTTATTTAAACTTTTATTTTGTACTTTGGTTACAAGTCATCACATGAGACTACCACTAATATCAGTTATCTATTATGGATTTTGAGTGCAGCCAGACAGGAATATACTTGAAAACCAGAAATATCCACAATAGATGATTTGACTGACTTCATTCACGATGTCCTCTAGATGGAAAGAATCACTGTCAAACTGCAACGTTCTGAAACAAACGTTCAAACTGTCCAACCATCGTTAGTTTAATGTGGATTTTCTAATTTTCTATCCATTCAGTAGATTAATGTGAGCATCAGGAAAACAAACCTCTGTCTTCAGGATTTATTAAATCTGGATTATTATTTCGTAAAGGTTTTTTTTCTCCTTTGTCTTTTTCTTAGTTTTATTTTCCTAATTTTATTAATATTTTCATTTCTTTTAATGATCCTTATATGCTCGTATTTATGAGCGTTTAGTATCGCCTTTTGCTAAAATTGTTGTTTTGCAGAAGCACATTTTAGGTTTCGTATGCAGCAAAAGGTGCTATCTATCTATCTATCTATCTATCTATCTATCTATCTATCTATCTATCTATCTATCTATCTATCTATCTATCTATCTATCTATAAATTTTCACGTACAAGTGCCTCATAACTGTACATTAATATATATTCAATATACACTAAAGTACTATATATTTGTTATTATCATTATTATTATTATTATTATTATTATTGTGAATGCCTGACAACAAAACATTAAGGGGGGTCGTGAACTTTGTATTGAATTATACTTTATAATACTTTAGTAAATGAAACTTCTGTGCTTATTTAAAGTATTAATATATTTGTTAAAATTTGATTTTGCAGAAGTCCATGTCAGTTCTTGCCTCTTGCTGTAAAATAAAAAATTTTAAAAAATAAAAAAGAATTATATATATGAATAAATATATAAATACACACACTATGAGGACATCCTCCGGTACAGTATCTCAGATCTGTATATCAGACCAGCAGCTCCTTCTCGTTTCCAGCTCGCTCCTCTGCAGGAGGTCTCAGCTCTGAGTTCATGTTTCTGCTTCGATCAGCTGCAGTCATTTAACGACATTTAAACCTCACACAGCCACACGGTTTCCTCGCCTTAAGCACTAAAACCAGAGGCTATCGTTACGGTATGTGTGCTGCACTTACCCCGGGATGTAGGGTGGGTTCGGTGCGAGCAGAGCTTTGCTGACTCTGGGTCCGTACCGGTCCATGTCTCAGGTTCTCTGAGCTGTTGACTGGTTGCTACAGAATCAGCCTGAAACACAGTCCTGCTGCCATGGAGGGCTTTAACACAACCCTCTGCTCTAATACTGCTCTAATACTACTGTAATACTGATCTAATACTACAGTAATACTACTACAATACTCGTGTCTACAGAACTTTTCCTGTGCAGCACTTCAGCTCTATTATTAATGTGTTGATGTTTAGTTGATTTGCAGCCACATTTTGTTCTTCTGCATCTATCTATATAAAAAACTCACCAAAACAACAGAGATCATTAAAACCAATCTTTATAGTCTCTCCGAATATTTTTAACACACAAATAAACGAACATGAGAATTTTATTCCAAACTGATTTTCTCAGAAAACAAAATAAAATGCTCAATGTCGCCCCCTAGCGTCCCCCTGCTGAAACTAACCATGAAGAGCTTCAGAAATACTTAATTTTATTCAATCAGCTTAATACAGACATCTCAGCTGCTTTCAAATTAGACTTCATAGTCAAAAAAATAAATAAATAAATAAATAAAGGGGGAAAATGTGATCTAAATTTTAAATTGTGAAAAAAACACATGAACAATAACAGACAATAAAGGTTGGTTACTGCACACTTTTATTTAAAATAAATACATTAATTTATAT